CCCCCCACCACACACACACACACACACACACACACACACACACACACACACACACACCACAGAACATGAGGGTTACATCTGTGGGGTCACCAATCAACTTTTTAAAAAATGGCACTAACGATAACTAGACTAAAATATCAATTTGTTGATTAGAGCTCAACTAAATTTTGACTAAAACTAATACACATTAAAAAAGACAAACTAAATCACAAGCCACTTAAATTAAATTTGTTTTATTGTTCTGTAAATGCAGAGTGATGTGTGCATCTGAGATTGGGTCTGCCAGATGTTTGACTGCCCCCCTCCCCTCTCAGGGCAGGGTACCTCCCCCAAGGCATTCCCTTGCAGCTGATTGGTTATCTGCCAGAGGAGCCATCATTCCTGCCGTGGCACGCCGCCAGCCGAGCGCTCTACCAGCTGGACAAACTGCTGGACCGCACTGACGACTACAGCCTGTTCAGTGTAAACAGCCAATTAATCAATTACTGTCTCAATCAGTCCTTCAGTTAATCGATGAATCAGTCAGTCAGTCAGTAACAGCTCCTTGTTAGCAGACAGGACCAACAGCTGGGAGTCTTCTAATTAATGGTGTGTGTGTTACCAGGACTATGTGCTGAAGCAGGTGGCATCACGGTACCATCAGATGGGTTGGCCAACAAATGGCCCCGGCAGCGAGGGCGCCATCCTGAGGGCGTCTTACCAGACTGAGTATGCAGCACTCACACACAAGATCTGACCAATGAGATGCTTCCCCAGCAGCACTCTGATTTACAACCCTGCACCAACATGTCTCTTTCTGAACCAGAAACAGCATTTGGCTTTGAAGAGAGATGGTTTCATGAGCGCTACACTTAAAGTTTGAGAACCTGCTGTAGGTCTAGGATGTGTTGAGCCTAGCTCAGCACAAAGACTAGGTCAACTGCAAGGCCAGCTCTGGAAGCAGAGCTGCTTTAGTAACTGTTCCTAACATTATTTCTGCATTCTGTATTCAAAAAGTAAAATACAAACAGTAGATCCCTTTTGGTGTGGAGCTAACAGTGCTTGTGATAGGCTAGGCTACACATGGCCTGGATCTACTTGGTCTCCGCACTTTATATATAGAGATGAAACTCCATACATAACAAACATACAGAACAAAACTGTTTCTTCACACATGCTAGAATAGGCAGCATTTTCTCTCTCTTTCTGCAGAGAGTTACAGAGGGAGCTCATCATGTTAGCTTGTAGCTTTGGAAACAAACAGTGCCACCGTCAGGCTGTTGCCTACATCTCTGACTGGATCTCCAGCAACAAGAACAGGTATGAAAACATACACACAGACAGACATACAGTATACACCCTGTACGCTGTGTGCACACCTGACTGATTTCATTTAAACTTTGGGCAACTGTCAGAGCTACAGGTGATACAGGAAGATGTGTAAAGACAAGACGTTTCACTGGGTGTCATGGCTGTAAAAACAGTCTAAAGGTGCCTTCAGACAGTGACAGGTCGCTACCACTGGGTCCATTGTTTTCACTCTAAATAAAACAGCAGCATGAACATGCACGGCTGTTTGCTTCGGAGTTTATGATAGTTCAACTTGCTGCTGCAGCTCAAAGGTGGACAAACCCTCCGTGACGTCAGCCATTTGTGTTCTGAAGAGTGGCTTTGATGCTTCAGTCACAATATTGGTAGCACTTCACTCCGCCTGCTACGGGTAATCCAAAAACATAGAGGTGGAGCTTCAGTGGCACCGATTAGACTGCTAGCAGCTAGACACCTGTGGCAGGACCCTCCCACCTGTCACTCAATGTGGCCAGGCCCTTAATTATGCTTAATGTTTAGTCTTAATATAATTTCAACGGCAGAGTTATAAAAAAAATTCACCCCATTTACAGTTGTCATGGGAGTCTATGGAGATGGACTCCCTTTTAGAGCCAGCCTCTAGTGGCTGCTCAAGGAACTGCATATTTCTCAGCCCCAGAGGTTGCTGCTTGAGCTCATGTGACCATGGCACCACAAAGACTGCACCACTAGCTCTTTATACAAACGCTGCATGATTACATAGAAAGTCAATGGAAAGGTGCGATTTCTCCTCGGGCAATGAAAAATGATGTGAAAACACATCCACATTCAAAGTGAATGAAAAATCAACACACATCCTGGGCTTTGTAATCTACTTCAAAAACATTGTGCAGCTTTATCTCTGCCACCTGAACCCAGAGAAATAATTAACCCCAGATTGGTCCCCCAGTGTGGACGTGGGGGGAAAACTAAATACGTATATAAAGTGGAGTAACCATGTCTGACATCCAGACACAACAGCCCTGCAGCAGCCACCCACCCTCAGTTTACCTCCATCCTTTTGTCTCTTTCTTCTACCCATTCTTCTCTTCTCCCTCTCTTCCTGTCAGCCTCTTGGTTTTCCTCTTTCATGTGGCTTGTTCGCTCCCTCCGGGTCCCTAACAAGATCTGCAAAATTAGATTTCAAACAGCAAATTAAATAGAACCAGATGCTGGTGTTCTGTACAGGACAGCAGGGAGCTGGTGATAAGAGGCACGCTTCAATTAAAAAAAACACACCAAATTAAACACTGCTTCAGACTCCATCAGGCAGATTTTATGAATGGTTTCTCAGAGAGGGGGCTCAGTGCATGTTGTACACATGTTCACTCTCCACAGCAAAATATTTCTGTAGTCACCACTGTTCAGTCTCTTTTGGCTCCAGTTTAGTTTTTGTTTTGCAGAGCTGGTGATGAGGATGCAGCCACATATGGCAACAACATGAGTTTGTCCTTTTTCTATTGCAGTGGAAGAAAAGTACTGGATAAATCCACTGTTATGTAGGATTAATCTCTCCAGGGGTGATTTTTAAAAATATGTAATGTTCTGTTGAGTGTTTGTTTTCCCACCTGGAGCTCCCAGTATTAATTACAAATGCAGTTTTCATCAGAATGCTGCAAAGGTTGGAAGCCTCAGAGAGAGAAGGCTCATCTGACCTGGCTTCACGATCACTGGAATCCTAAGACAAAGGAAGGACAGAGAACACCCGAAGCTGAACTTTACTCTGCACTCATGTGATTCTGTTTTGCACTGAGATGACCCCAGAAGACATCAGCCTTGGAAATAACTGAGTTGAGCAGCAGACCTGCGTCATGCTTGTGTCTCTTAGACACCACCTACTGAAATGTGATTCCGGCTAAAATCCCTTCCAGAACAATGACTGTAATTACTGTGAGGAACAGCTAATATTTTAGCGCCTACGTCCCGCTGAAACATTCATCACGCCCCACTGGGACTGTCTTGTAAATGAACCATCTAAATGGATCAAAATAGATCAGTTTTCAAATATGCCTTAGTGTGGCTGCAGCCAGAGCTGGGTTAACCTGGTAGGGGGTCAACAATGAGCTGCTGGTGCCTCCATTAGCCCCCCGCCCCTTCCACTCTCCGTGCATTATTTCTAGCTCTTCTGTGCTGCAGTATTATCTTGGCCGAGGTCTGTTGTGTATTTAGGCGGTGTCCAGCCCTCAGGGCCAGAATAACTCAACAACTACTGGATGTGCTGCCATGAAATTTGGTACAGACATCCCAGATGATGTAACTTTGGTACTAGACATGGTTCAAAATTACTTCCAAAGGATACAGGAGCAAGTCTTCAAGAGTCCAGCGGTTGAGACAGACCCATGGAAAATCAGCTTCACTTACATTTGCTGTTCAAAAGGGAGCCCTGTGACAGACTGGCGACCTGTCCAGGGTGGACTCCGCCTCTCGCCCATTGTCAGCTGGGAAAGGCTGAAGTCCCCCACCACCCTCTTCAGGAATAAGTGGTATAGATAATACAGTAGATGGATGGATGGGGGACCGAAGGAAAGTTGACAGACACAAAGTGATAATTTTTGACTTGAGTTCCCTCATAAACAGGGATGAATCACCAGCTGAGAGCCACCTGACATAATAGGGTCTGGGTGTCAGCCCCACCAACACTCAGAGTAGGCTTTCTGAGGCACAGCCTTAGTTCACACTCGACATCTGCCTCAAAAATGCATTTCTCTCCTTTGATGACCATCACATATGGTCAGAGCTTAGGATCCACTTGAGGGTAGGAAAACAGGAATGCAAGAGACAGGCTTAATTAGACTGGATTTCAATATCATTGGTCAGTATATTATTTATTGGTGTCGCATACTGGGTTGTTAATCTACTTGGTTTTGTGATTTTTGGGTATAAACTGCATCTGTGTAATGTGTTAATAAACTCCTCCGTTCCTGTGTGCTTGTTAGGATTTAACAAATCAATGTTGAAGTCACCACATATGAAAATTAATTTATGACTTATTGTGAAATAGTTCTCCTCAATCCAGTCATTAAATTTTTCTATGCTGGCTCCAGGTGCTCTATAAATACAGCTTACTACAACCTTTTTTTTTTTTTCCACGGATATTTCTACAGTCACACACTCCAGCAAGTTATCAACCGCCCTTGACATGTTCTCGACTTTTTCATAACAGAAGTTTTTATCTATGTACAAAGCCACACCACCTCCCATCTTATTCTCTCTGTTTGTGCATACCAAGTCATAGCCATCAAGGTCAAAATCCACTCCCCTTACATTATTAATCCAGGTTTCCGAAATGGCA